AACGAGATGTAACTGGCGTTAGTGTGAAGTGCTAATCTGCAGTCTCTATGAAGAATATTTTATGAAATGGGTACCTGCAGTTTCAGTGAAAAAATATTAACCGGTTCGAGAATTATAACTACTCAAGTGATTATGCTTGCAGTTTCTTTGATTCTTGAATTATCGTTGAAAATGGATAATAATATACTGCATGTCAGAATTTATAAATGAATTGCATATCTATGTCTCGTGGATAAGAAACTGATGTAAATCATTCAAATTGCACAAGAAACTCCGAACTTGCATATCATAATATCAAGTTTAAAAATAAAATGGAACAGTCTGTTGATCCAGTATAAATTGCTAACGTTCCCCGGCGCACGAGCGTACATCCGATTATAATAAGACGGCCTTTTCAAGCAACCAAATTTTCATTCACCATCTCAATCCGCCTTATCCTTAATCCATCACGTATGCTCCATCCAAATCGGAAACAATACCGCCTATTCATGCTAGCTTCTCGGCAAACGATTTCATTCAATGCCTGATCACCGATTCCGTTCTAATTCAAGCCGCGCTCCCCGTTTCATCGACACAATGCGTACAATGGGGCAGCTCCAACGATTCGTCTAACGTATCAATAATTTGGCTAACAATTTCCCGCGGCACTGGAAGCCATCGCGACTCCGCCGAAAACGAAAGCCGGTGTGCAAACACTTCCCTAGTCCACGGGAAACCGCGAAATCGTTTCGTGGCTCGATGACTCCGGCACTGTGTACACGTAACAATAGGCGGAAACGTCGGTCGGCTACAAAAGGAGCATCGCGAGTAAGGGAGAGAATGCACGTCGGTTGGACAGGAACACCGGTGGCCCGATAAAGAATCGGGCCGAATCAAAGGTTCCCGGGGGAAACGTTAAGGCTGTCTCCTACATATGGTGGCTCAGATTGTCACGGATAGTTACGGTGTCTGGTTATTGTAATTGGGTATCCGCGGACAGAAAGCCCGTTCCCGTGCGCGACACGATACGATCGATTCGATTTTTCGACGGCCGACCGCGAGCATTTTATTACCTTGGCCCCGGGAGCTCATACATATCCATTTCATATTACAATCGGCAAATAAAAAGCAACACTACGACATACCATTTAATAGCTCTCACTCTCTTAAAATTGCTCTAATAATCGCCAGAGGAATTTCTATTGCGAAATAAACTACGAAATCCTATATTTCTCATGAGATGTTATTTCGACCGATACATTCCGAATGGATATGATAGCTCATTAATTAGTAACGGATATAATAACGCGTTCGACATTAATAAACGTGAAAGCGATGTTTCGTGAATTCTGTTTCAATTGGATTTCTTTCGGGGAACGGGATTATGGGGGCTCGAACAATCGCGACTGTTTGAACGGAGACGGTTTATGAGCGATTGTGTCGAATTTATAGCTCGCTGGTTTAACGACCACCGGTCTAGGATTTGCAATGTACAGAACGGTAATAAAGGTACGGAAAACGTGAAGATAATTCGGCCTTTCAAATGTTGCTTTCGCCTCGTATTATATCGCATGCTTTATTAATGTATTTCGTGTCATTTGAAGTAATCCTTCTCTATCAATTATGAAGGACTTTCAATTTATAGAATACATATTAAAAATGATGAACGTTTTCTATCCCAGTTAAAACTCGATTAATCACATAATATTATCACTGCTAGCCACGCGGTTTCACGCTGCCGCGCAGCAACAATTCAATTAAATTCGTCACGTATCGTTGACCGACGATAAACGACCGGCCGTCTTGGCGAGCGAACGACCACCGTTGCGATTATGATAATTTCATATCGTTTTCTCCCCCGAGACCAACCCGAGAACTTTTTTCCCCGACCGTCTGCCGATTTCACTTCGCACAGCCCCCGCCCGTTTCCTCGGCACCCTTTTCCGGCGGTTGTTCTTCTAGGAAATCGCACGACGTCCAGACAGGCGCGGCGGTCTCATTGTCCACGGCTAGATAGGGCCGTTTGCATTGCAGATTTGTACCCGATACAATCTGACCGGCCCGTTGCCAGAGAACCGAACGACCCTTTTCTCTCTCTCTGTTGGTTTAGAACAGAATTCGTCTCTCGCGAGACGAATCGCCTGCTGCCGCATACGTAATAGAAATTGTAACGTCGCCGACGCTAATTTATAGCGCATCTCCGGCGATTACCGTGGATAATGATATTTGCGGTCGTCCGGGAGCCACGAGACACGCCCGATTGACACCGTGTCGCGATAAATTTGCCTCTACGTTGAGTGAATTAGTTCCACGGAACAGAAACCTCTCGGATAATTGAGACAGGAAATAACTCACAATTCGATAAATTAAAAAATTAATTAGATAAACGTGTTCGAATTTAACAATCGTGTGTTACATAATATGCAAGTTTTGTCCATTGTTTATTAAACTTAGTGTTTGCTTGAAATACTATTGACCGAGAATTTAGCTTAACGACTATGCGTGTACATCAAACGGGTGTACACAGAAATTTTACGGAAACATCAACGAACGCGCGTAACAATCGGTCCAGTTAATCGAAAGCCATTAATCCTGGTGAATCGATAATTGCGTAGGGAAGGATCGTAGCCAGAAATCGTCATCGGCGAGAGACAATGAACGGATGCCACGATAATTGGTCGATAAAGTGATAAACCCGGGGTAGAGATTATATTGTAAGCATGGCAGCACCGTGTCAGAGATATGCAAATGATTATTAATTATTAGCGCGTTGATCGTTGCCGGCTGACGACAGGCGCGGATCGATGCCGCTGTGAATTCTCGTCGTAGAGACTCGATACGATACCCGGACGATAAAGTTTAATTAAGGGACATATTAACGCACCGGGGATACCTAAGCAACGGTAAGCAGCGTGGCTGAGTGAGCGGTTAGCAGGCAGGTGCATGGATAATTATACGTTTTCCTCGTATATATCGTCGCATGCTACCGGAATAATTAAGCAAAACTGATGAGCGTGTTCGTCCCTATGCGCCGGGGCGTAGCAACTCCTTTCGCGTCGCCACTTCCTTTTTCTTTCTATTTTTTTCTTGTATTTCGTCTCTCTTTCTCTCCCTCTTTCTGTGGCATCCGCACTGTTTCGTAAATTTTTAATACGTTCACCGATGCGCCGCAACGTGCTCTTTAAATTAACATTGTTATTGCTCGCGTCGCGTCGCCTCTTCAAGCTTATTGGCGTTCCGTTGATAATTACGCGCGGTTAACCAGTTAACTCGCCGCGGACTAATCGTTTGTTTACCCGGTTCCCTCGTCTTCTCGCTACGTTGTTACACGTTTCATGTTGGGAACAATCGTCGGACGGTTTCTCGCATGAATTATTAAAATGATTGAGATAAAACGGTCACCACGAGCAGCGAGGTGAAATTTTTCATTAGCCACGTGCATGCATAATTCCGAGGGATCTCTCTCAACGAGTTCATCAATGCCACGTCCTCGAGACACGGTCTCCCGCCGGCTTAATGACAGTAATAATGGTAAGATAAGCTTGTTGGAAGTGATGTACGAGCTTAGTTACCACGTACCGCGATACCGCATGCATTGTCGACAAAACGAACATTTATGAACGATAAAATTAAACACTAAACTAGATATCTTTTATGACGGGACTTGATTTTAATTTATGAAATACAAATAAATTACCAATGAAATATAGTTGAGTAAAAACTTCTGCAAATCTACTGTAAAATTTGATAAGAAAATAATAAGAATAAATCTTCTGTTTTCTCTAATTCCAATACACGCGTTATTACACAAATATCTGAATAATTTGCAACTGAAATTTGAACTTCAATCCGTCTTTGATTCTTCAATCTCAATTTTCCTCGTTCCATCGTCCGCGTAATCGGAAAAAGCGCAGGCATCCCACGCATTCGAATTAAACACTTTGCGTGGCTAATGACTACGCCACCTGCACGCGGGTACCTGATAAATAAACAGCGTTCAACTACAGACTGCAATTAAGCCTCGCCGCGTTGAGTCTCCCATCCCGTCGACTACTTTCACTATCGCGGCGCGGTGGAAAAACGTCAAGAGAATACCGAGTGTAGCCGATCCGACGTACTGTGTAATGAGTGTCTAAAAGTCAATCGTAAATCCTCATAATGCGTTTAGAATTTTCAATACGAAAATATTTTCGCATCAATTTGAAGAGAGTGAATGATAATTTCGATCTTTCATTAGTATAAAACAATTCAATTAATGCATTATGAGACCGTCTTTGCTCATTGTAGAGAGATTGAAAAATTTGATATTTTTTCACTGTGAGATAAAATTTCCGAAATTCTTTCACGTAAGCGTTTGCATATTCCTGTTGGCTGTACATCAACTATATTGACTCATTGCACGAGGAATGCCGCTTCGAGCCACGAACAGATTTCTCCGGCCAGATTACGACAAGAACATCGGTCGATCGTTTAGCTACACGAGGCACAGCGATTTACTCGCGACAGGCATCGACGTACGCGCCGACCTTTTTACGAGCCACGATTTCTTCGATTCGAACTTTTCTTGTCGCGAGCTACGCCGCAGATTTATTTAAATTGCGCTACGTCGCGGGACGATTTAAATCGAGAATCGTTTCCTTACGGTCGTTCGCACGACTTTTACCAATGAATTCTTGATCGACCGTTTAAATATTCAATAGACGAGAATCATCGAATTTTTAATCTAATTCAAACAATATTAAACTGACTCGTTACGATTTGTAACATCAGCCGATGTGGAACCAATTTAAAGTTCCCTATGAAATAATGCTTGTCGTGTTCTTTATGAAAATCGCCTCGACGAACAATGCGGCGATGTTCGAAATGACTAACAACCGGCGCGGCGCATATATACTACACGCTCGTAGCGCAATAATTGCGGCAATTTAACAGACATGGAATGTGTACACGAAACTCTGGCTCCGGTCGTGACGTCCGTGAACGCCGCGCCACACCAGTATAAAAATTACCGTCGAACATACCTTGGGGTCGAAGTTGAAGACCTGTTCGGGTCTTAGCGGACACTCGAGACCGCATTTGCAGGTTCCCACTGTCGTCAGGTACTCCTTCAGCTGATCCAGCGAACCCAGCGCTGTGCTGCTTGGACTGTAACACAGATAAGAGTAAAAAATAAACGTTAATGGACATAGCATGCGAGATGGAGATAAAACGAGGAGGGCATGGAATAAAACGAGTACACAATTTACTCGTTACGTCCGACTAACTTTACTGCCCTTTATCGGAGTTTTATCATTTACAATTAATTGCGACAAAGTCGTCTAAAAAAGACTTATTAATTATTTATAGCGTCACCTTCCCGGATTAAATCGATACAAACGGCAATGAATATTTTAACTGAATACCATCCGAAGGACAGATTTCTCGTATAATCGTGTGATACGGTTTATGTGATATGACATAATAATTGCATTCTACGATACAAAGGATTGAACAAAGGCAACGCATGAACGAGATTAAGCGAGGAGGCAAGCACAGACTGAATATAAATATGCCTTCCCCTTTTTCACTTCCTCTTGGAGGTTTCAATCATATTTCTGGCCGGTCGTTCGAGCGCTGCGAACGAGCCGAACGAGCGATATCAAAGATAAATTAACCAACTCGTAAAGAAGCTGTAACGGGGAACGAGGGAGCCGATGTTTCGAGGGGAGCAGCAAATAGGCGTTTCATAATTTCACCGGTCGCGTCGATGAGCTGGAAGGAGACCGGAGAAGACGGTTTATTACCTACAGACATCGCTTGTTTGGCGAAACGGGACAGTAATGGTTTGAGGACGTTTGCCGAAGCGGCCAGCGAATAACACCGAGCCGAGGGTGCTGGATCCTTGTGATAATTCTAACTGGCCCCGTGAAACTAAAACGGTTATCGATGTTCCTGAAGGGGACGCGAGTTATTGCATCACTTAGACCGCTGGCAAATTTTCTGTTCAGAATATTTTATGTCGCTGGCAAAGTTATGACGTTCATTACCGTCCTCTCCCTTATCGCACTTTCTATTTCTCGTTTCAACGTTATAGTTCTGAATCAGAGATTTTTATATACAAACATTTTAAATTGTAAAACAGTATTGATACACGTTATTCATGGAACAAGGTGCCGCGCAATTAGTTATAATCCAACCCTAAACGGAGTATCGTATTAACCGGAATTTCTGAAGATACCCATCAACCACGAGAATTTGCATAAAGCCGTAAACAAAAATGAATACGGGCGAAGGTCGTCGTCACGTTTCGCGCGTTTAATCCCATCCAATCTTCCCGGTGCGGCGCGGCGTTAAGCGTCGCGTCGGGTTGCATTTTTGCCTCGTTAGCATTTTCATTTGGCGCGCGGCGGTAATTGAAATCCCGCAATTAATCTGGGAACACAGGGCGTCATAACGGAAAGACGGCAGCCGGGTTAAGCTGCTGTCTGGCCGTCCTTCGAAACGAAAGACGGTTTATCACCTATCGCTCTCTGACGTCGAATCACCGACGGGGAACGTTGCTTTGCAAGCAACTAATTCGAACGAGGGGATCCTTCCTCCTTGCCGCTGTGCGGTGGCTCGGAGTTGAATCAACGAGCTGAAACGGAGGCAGGGTCGGCCGCCTTGTATATTGATTACCCTGTAGAGGGACAGAGAGACTTTGTTTCGGGGTACTTTGCAGCTTCCTAAACTAATAACCTCGGGCGCTTCATCCCGGCATTATAACCTCGGGGGAAGGCTCGCCTTTCCCCCTTCACCCGATATCCCCGACACCGCCGTAGGAATTCTCCTGGCAATTATTTCACGTGACAACAAGACGAATTCGCGCACCCACGCTCGTGCTAATTTGCGCCGGATTCGATTTGTTCGCCGACCCACCTGCTCTAAACTCTGCTCCGTCGCGTACCGCGACTCCGGCCGGCCTTTGTCGCGACCGCTTATGAATTATGAAATACATATTTTAGTCAGACCGAGGATTATTATTTAGCGAAGTTACGCTGCCCACTGAGCGAAATTCATACCCGGTCTTCTCCGAACGACGGAATAATTAATTACTCGCGAATGGACTCACTGCGCAGTTTGTAACGAGCAAGTCGAGGTTGCAAAATTCAATGTACACGACTGACTTTTAGAATCTGTCGTACTTATAACTTAAAATAACATTTTTGTTAAAGAGTTTCCAGTGGAAAATCAGAGGAAGTTTCAACTTGCATTTCATATATATTAATAAAAATGTCATCGACGAATCAATGATATTTTTATTTAACCAAAGAATTTTTACCTCGAAAAAGGAAGTTGTTACCAAAGGTATCTACCAAAAATGTCATATTCTTACTCGACTCGAAGGTGTACACATTTTTGCGAGTCTCGAGGATCGTGCCAAGGTTTCGCGTGGTTCGTAAAGCAGACTTTTCCCATGCCACCCTCCTTATCCCAGGATTCGAAATGCAAAATCCTTGGCGATGTATCAACATTCACGGGACCATAGACCCGGAGGTCTGGGGGATTCCCAGCTGACGGAGAAAATAAGAATCGTGGGGTGGCTCTCATCCTCTTCGTGCGGTCGCATAACCTCCCCGCTCAAGGGCGGAGGACGGCATGTACCATAGATAACCCCTAATGTTTCTAAGGGAAAAAAACCCCGTCGGAATATATGAAAACCCGCGCGAGATTCGATAAATAATGTGGCTTACGATTGAATTTTTTCAGCCAATGTAGTCGTAATAAACTGTGGAACATTTGTGTAAAAACGAATTAGACAAATATTGTGTATGCCAATAAAATGCCATATAATCATACGTAACTCGTTAAATATCGAAGTTAGAAGGACAACAACTTTTATTTGAAGCATTTTTCCCAATTTTGAAAAAAAAAAAAAAATTATCGTCAGCTTCAATACTTAATTGGATATTTCCTTCTATACTTTTTAGCACGTAGCTATTTATTATTAGCATTATTCTTCCGATGTCTGATTTCTTTTTAGTTATAGGAAATGCGT